ATAAGGCTATTAAGTTTCTAAAAATCAGTTTTACGGAAACAGCGAATCTTATTTGCCACGCATAAAGACATCTGATCGATACCAGGAATAGTTTCGATAAAGACCTCCAGCGTGGGGTGTTAAGGATCCTCTGGGGTTGAAAGGGGAAAAGCTCTGGAGAGAGCGGTACCATCAGGATCAGATACATAGCATAAGTCTAAAAGCCGACCTAACGAATTTCTAACATGGTAAATCTGACCTAGGGACATGCCAAACATGCCCGCGGTGAAGTCATGGTGAGTGATAAGTGACAAAGATGGTGAGTTATCGACGTTGGACCACTTTAATTCTGGGATATTAAAGTCGCCCACCGCGACGAGCTGGTCACGATCAGTCATAAGATTAAAAACGAATTGAATAGCGGGCAAATGCTGCCACACGAACATGTAATGTATAAAGATTTTTTGGACAAAATGATTTTAATGTAAATAAACTCAATGTCACCAAAACTCCTATGATTTCACCTCTTCAAAAACAAGAGTGGAGTCTACCGAAATGAGGACTCCACCCCCCCTTCGCTGAGGTCGATCCCTTCTAAAAGTGGTGTACTTACTTGGAAAAACTTCGGAGCTAAAGATCTCCGGCTTTAACCAAGTTTCTGTAAAGGCTATAATATGGGAAGGAAAGGAAGAACTATCAGAATATAGTTTGGGGAGTTTGCTACATAGCCCCCTAGTATTCTGATAGGTAAGTGTTAACCCTTTACATGGTGGTGATGCAGATCTGCATCATACCGTTTAAATTCAATTATTTATCAAACTGCTTTACGAAACTGTCCAAAATCTTTTTGATGCAGTTCAGCAACTTTCGTTTTTTATATAAAAAGTGTTGATCACTCAGAATTCTGTCCAATACTCAACAGGTGATTACTTTTCCAACCAATTTGGTGAATGTGGTAATCTGAATTGGTTGTGCAGTTTCTGATCCAAAATATAAAAAACAAAAAAAATTGTATAATTGATTCAATTAATGTTTAAAAACAGGAAAATATTATATTTAGTTGTATATTATTGAGTTTTTGTGTTTGTTGCATTATAATACAATTAAATCATTAATTTCGCTAAGTTTAAAAAATCGCTTTTTTTTGCTTTTTGTAAAAAAAAAATAAGGAAAAACCAATTTAAAAAAAAAAAAAATAAAAAGAAGTGTATTTTTTATTTTTACTTATCTACCGAACAAAAAAAAAATCAAGAAAATCGGAGTTATTGCCATGTAAAGGGTTAATGACAATACTAGTTTTTTGGCTTAGTGGACGAAGAAGAGGTGGAAGGTTGGTCTGTGGTGTTGATATCGGGTAGTTTAACTACCGCTGGTTTAAACACTTATTTCTTCACGGAACTAGGCTGACTTTCTTAGAAGAAAATATTCTCTGGCCAAAAACTGGGTGAATATCTTGAACATCAGCGCGGGCACACGAATCACGAAAGAAGACGTGCGCCGTATACAACTATATTTAAATTTAACTATGTCCTCCACCTTTATATCGGCTTTTGTTTTGACTTTGATATAAGCCTAGATATCAATCTCTGAAATATCAGGTGCAAGCCGAGAAACAAATAAATGTTTCGATGGAGAAATCACCTGTAAGGGTTTTGGTGTCGCAGGTACGAGAACTATCAGTCGGTGCCGGTGGTCCGGATTGTGGAATACCCTATTGGGTGACTCTAACATGGGTTTCGTTCACTAGAATCTGTGGCATCACTTGAAGGGACGCCATGGCGGACATATCGGACAATTGCTCATTTTCCCTGAGAAATTCGGACGAATGGTTCTCAGTTATAGCCCTTGGGGTGGCCAGAGATATGAGCGGCTGCATTAATGTCGGCTGAGCAGGCTGAGGCGGATCAGAAACAGCGGATTTCTTACGCTTAGGGGACTCATTTAGCAGCTGAAGGCCACTAAACTGAGTGTCAATCGACAGCTGCTCATTGATTTTAAGAAAACCAGTGATCAACTCTTTGAATTCATTCTTGGTCTGTCTCATGAACGACCTCATTTCGCCTTGGACAGCACGACAATTTTTACAACAATAATGAATACCAGACCTACGGGAAATGGCATCCGAAACTGAGGCAGTGAACCCGGCACACTTGGCGTGTACGACATTTTCACATAGCCAGCAATGGATGGTAGGCTGGGATGAGGAAATTGTCTTGTTACAAGACTTCATAGCTCAGACCACTTTAAATTCCATATTTTTAATTAATAACAAAAAGTTAAAAAAACACTATACCTTGAACCACTGTGCCAAATAGGAAGCCGAAGCGGGAGCTTTTTAGAGTGCAGAGGAAAAGAGCAGAAATAGAGATAAGACGGGGAAGAAGCAGAGCTGAGCTAAGCTTGGAATTTAGAAAAATTATTAATTCTCCTCCAAATATACCACAGCACTCGCGAAGCGATACGGTTTAAGGGGACCCCCCCCCATTCTCGATTTTAAATTTTGACGATTTTCAATGGGCTGGCAAATGAACATAAATTATTTTTTAGGGTTGTAACTGTGCTTACATATATTAAGACACAACAAGAAAGGAAAGCTAACTTCGGGCGGAGCCGAAGTTTATATACCCTTGCAGTTAAAACCGGATATATATCGCAAACATCGGATATAGTTGGCCGATCCTTATGGGAATAGGAATATATACTCCAATTTATTACAATACAAAATCTAAAAAAAGTCCCAAGCTTCTATCTTCAAAAATACGAAAGTTGATATTTCTATTAAATACCATTTCCGATCGTTCAGTTATATGGCAGCTATAGGATATAGTCGGCCGATCCTAATGAAATTTGGTAGGTTGGATCAACTGACCAAAAATAGAGTCTGTACTAAATTCCAGCTTTCTATCTTCAAAAACACGAAAGTTGGGTCATTTCCGATCGTTCAGTTATATGACAGCTATAGGATATAGTCGGCCGATCCTTATGAAATTTGGCATGTCGTATTATTTTGCCAAAAATAGCTCTCACCTAAAATTTAAACTCTCTAACTCTAAAAATACCAAAGTTATACCATTTCCGATCAATCAGTTATATGGCAGCTATAGGATATAGTCGGCCGATCCGGGCCGTTCCGACTTATATACTGCGTGCAAAGGAAAGAAGGGTGTGTGCAAAGTTTCAAGACGATAGCTTTAAAACTGAGAGACTAGTTTGCGTAGAAACAGACAGACGGACAGACGGACATGCTCATATCAACTCAGGAGGTGATCCTGATCAAGAATATATATACTTTATAGGGTCGGAGATGTCTCCTTCACTGCGTTGCACACTTTTGGACAAAATTATAATACCCTCTGCAAGGGTATAAAAAGGAAGAAAATCATTTCACAGAATTTTTTTTGTTTTGTTTTTGTTGTTGTTTTTTGTGATCAAAGAAAAGCCCTTCTTTTCGGCGGCGCATGTGATTTCCGCTCACTGGAACATCTGAATCCAAAAATTCCAACGGGATTAGAAAAAGTACATGTTTGGCTCTCGTATGAACTAGGATTATTAACTTCGCTCAAAAATTAACAAAATGGCGGACCTTTGAAATTTTTTTTTTGAAAATTTCCATTATTTTCAGCCATAAATCGAGTTGAAAAGTAAAGAAGATCTTCACCGATTTGATTTATCCTAGTTCATACGAGAGCTATATATGTATAGAATAACGTGTTAAAATTTGGAACCGATTGGATTAATAGTTTTTGAGTAACCTCATGCGCCAGTCGTAAAAACACTGTTTCGAGAAAAACGCGTTTAAAGTTTTGAGACGGCTCTCGCCGTCGCCTGAGGCTTCCACCATAAATCGGCTATATCTTCAAGAGTTTTTGAAATTTTTACTTGAAATTTTCAGGGAACATTCTTGAATAGTTACAAGTTTGAATTAAATTAAAAAAAAAAAATCGATTTTTTAAAACCGAGAATGGTCCCCTTAAGTTAAAACTTAAGATTCTCAATAGATTCACAAGTAAGTAAACACCGGTTTACCAATATTTATCAATGATAGCAGTTTTAAAGCTATCGACTTGAAACTTTGCACACACCCTTCTTTTCTTTTCACGAAGATCGGAAATGCTTTAACTTCGGTGTTTTTAAAGCAGTGGGGGGCAAACTCTCATTTTCCATAGACCGCGTGCATAGGGTATGCTCTCTCATTCGCTCTCATTTTGACTCATTTGACAGCCCAAACTTAAAAATCCAAATGTTTCCACTGAGAAAAATTTTTTCTGAAATCGGGTTGGAAAAAGTTTTCTTCATGGAGTCGCACGTACACAGTCGCACTCACTCACTCATTAAATTTCGTCTCAGCATTTTATCTCACTCAATTCATTTTCAAGGTTGTGCATTTGAATTTCGTTTTTTAGCTATTCATGCAGACCTCTAATATAGATAGGGAAGCGAAGTTTTACATTTGTTTAGGAAATGTTGATAGCAAAACTTTTTTTAAAATAAAATACACAATTTTAGTGCCCATTCCAACTTTTGAATTAGGAACATTCTGAATTTCTGAGAACATTTTTCTCAATGAAAACATTTTTTTTTGGCTGTCAAGTAAGGTAAGTTTGGTCTGTCAAATAAGGCAAAATGAGAACGCGTCGATCTTAAAGACTCTAACAGATAGAGCTATAGGATTTGATATGAAGACTTAAAATGGATCCACGCCCCCACGTATCCACGTATCTCTGGGACTTTAAGAGATAGAACTTTCCGGAACTATTTTGCCAAATTTTCGTTTTTTTTTTTTTTTTTTTTTTTTTGTTTTAGAGTGTATACTATTAAAAGTGTGTTAATATGTGGGTGAAAAAATGAATACCGGGACTCTTATTAAAAATATAAAGTTGGGGTTCACATCTTATAAGTTTTGTACATCATTTGAATATATATACAACGTGATTAAAATTTTTAATAGAAAACGTAATTCAAACCGTATAGAAACTTTCAATAATAATATATGTTAATATTTTAAATATAAAATATCTCACCCTGACCTGGTTGTTCCATGCTTTTCGGTAACCATCACGACCAGACCATACATATAGTCGACTTTGAATACCGACTGCGCAATGGCCAGCTCGAGCCCGTGGCACATTTTCCTCTACCGTGTCCAATGTAACATTATCCCAAGACATTGTATCTAAAATGTTCGTATATTTTTGTGGAAAATAAGCATTATCAAATGTATTTAATAAAAAAATATTTTTTTTATTTATATCTAAACAATTGGTGTCAGCTTTGACCCGCACGGGCACGTAACGTTCTCCTTTTCACACATACAGCACAGGAAGCTTCACAAAGCTTTTCGGAGTTCCAATCGCAAATATCGGATAAAGTTAGCGATCTTTATAGACAATTTTATTATAAAATCAATTTTTTTAACAAAGAATGATGCAAAAAGCCCGGATATATATAAAAAACTTCAAACTTCGAATGTAATTGGCCGATCCTTACGAGAAAATCATTATATAATCAATTTATTACAATACAAAAAAAAAGTCCCAAGTTGGGTCATTTCCGATTTTTCAGTTATGTGGCAGCTATAGGATATAGTCGGCCAATCCTTATGAAATTCGGTAAGTCGTATTAGTTTCTCAAAAAAATCGTTCGTACTGTTTATAAAATACTGTTTATTAAGATTGTACTGTTAAAGATTCAAAAAAAAAATATCAAATAATGACTGAGATACAGACCATAATCGAGAGCGCGCCTACACCGAATTGTATCAGTTACTCGGTAGCGTCTAAACTTTAAACGCGTTTTTCTCGGAACCACATTTTTGTGTGCGGCGCAGGTGATTCACAAAATTCACAATAAAAAGTAACACCTCTGTCCCGTACTAGAATCATTTATTATACCCTTGCAGAGGGTATTATAATTTTGTCCAAAAGTGTGCAACGCAGTGAAGGAGACTCGGAGATGTCTATAAAGTATATATATTCTTGATTTAAATCACCTCCTGAGTTGATATGAGCATGTCCGTCTGTCTGTTTCTACGCAAACTAGTCTCTCAGTTTTAAAGCTATCGACTACACAAGAATAAATTAAACAAAATATTTTCAAATACTTTGTGATGCTTATAAAAACATATTTGAAAATTGAAACGATTGTATTATTTTTTATTACAACAATTTTTCTTTTAAATAACCTCTAAAAGTAGGTCGGAACATAAGACTACACCCTTCAATCCGAACTTTCTTACTCTAAAACAAGAAAGGAAAGCTAACTTCGGACGGGGCCGAAGTTTATATTCCTTTTCAGTTCAAACCGGATATATATCGCAAACATCGGATATGTTGTCCGATCCTTATGAGAATATCATAATATAACCAATTTATTACAGTACAAAATCTTAAAAAAAATCGTTCAGTTCCGATCGTTCAGTTATATGGCAGCTATAAGATTTAGTCGGCCAATCGATATGGAATTTAGTAGGTCAGATTAACTGACCAGATATAGAATCTGTACTATGTTCTAGCTTTCTATCTTTTAAAACACGAAAGTTGGGTCATTTCCGATTGTTCACTTATATGGCAGCTATAGGATATAGTCGGCCTATAAAATATAAAATTATAAAATTTGGTAGGTTGGATCAACTGACCAAAAATATAATCTGTACTAAGTTCCAACATTCTATCTTTAAAAACACAAAAGTTCGGTTATTTCCGGTCGTTCAGTTATATGGCTATAGGATATAGGATAGGATATAGTCGGCCGATCCCGGTCGTTCCGACTTATATACTGCGTGCAAGGAAAGAAGGGTGTGTGCAAAGTTTCAAGTCGATAGCTTTAAAACTGAGAGACTAGTTCGCGCAGATGCAGACGGACGGACGGCACACTTTTGACCAAAATTATAATACCCTCTGAAAGGTTATAAAAAGCTAAAGTCGTGGCGACTTATATTCGCGACTGCGTGCAAAGGAGAGAAGAGTGTGTGAAAATATTGAACTAGATTGATCCGAAAGTGAGAAACCAGTTCGCTTAAAAAACAGGACAAGCAGACGGACATGTTTATATCAGCTCATGAGGTGGTCGTGATATAAGTTGCACACGTTTGATCAAAATTATAATACCTTCTGCAAAATAGCTGTTTACAATAAGTCGTGTATAGTCGTGAAATTATAGCCTAAGGTAGGAGAGTACTTTAAGTTCTTTTGACCTTTTATCCAAGTGGCTTTGTTTTATTATAAAAACTATTATTTATATACAACTTTATTCCCAACAACAACATAAAAAAAAAAAAAAACAATACAATAATAATTTTGTTTTTTTTTTACAATTAACAACAGCATAATTACTGAAAAAATTTATAAAGGGGTCATGTTCAAAATTAAAAAAAAAACAAGAAAGGAAAGCTAACTTCGGGCGTAGCCGAAGTTTATATACCCTTGCAGCTAAAACCGGATATATATCGCAAACATCGGATATAGTTGGCCGATCCTTAATTCCTCCTGAAATTTGGTAGGTTGGATCAACTGACCAAAAATATAATCTGTACCAAGTTCCAGCTTTCTATCTTCAAAAACACAAAAGTTGGGTCATTTCCGATCGTTCAGTTATATGGCAGCTATAGGATATAGTCGGCCGATCCTAATGAAATTTGGTAGGTTGGATCAACTGACCAAAAATAGAATCTCTACTAAATTCCAGCTTTCTAACTTCAAAAACACGAATGTTAAGTTATTTCCGATCGTTCAGTTATATGGCAGCTATAGGATATAGTCGGCCGATCCTTATGAAATTTGGCATGTCGTATTATTTTGCCAAAAATAGCGCTCGTGTAATAGCGCTGCTCCTGTCCGTCTGTCCGTCTGTCTGTCTGTTTCTACGCGAACTAGTCTCTCAGTTTTAAAGCTATCGTCTTGAAACTTTGCACACACCCTTCTTTCCTTTGCACGCAGTATATAAGTCGGAACGGCCCAGATCGGCCGACTATATCCTATAGCTGCCATATAACTGATTGATCGGAAATGGTATAACTTTGGTGTTTTTAGAGTTAGAGAGTTCAAATTTTACACGAGAGCTATTTTTGGCAAAATAGTACGACATAATTCGACATAAATCCTATAGCAGCCATATAACTGATTGATCGGAAATTGTATATCTTTTAGGTATAACATGGTGTTTTTAGAGTTAGAGAGTTCAAATTTTACCCAAGAGCCCAATTATTTTTGGCAACACATTACGACATAAATCCTATAGCAGCCATATAACTGATTGATCGGAAATGGTATATCTTTTAGGTATAACATGGTGTTTTTAGAGTTAGAGAGTTCAAATTTTACCCAAGAGCCCAATTATTTTTGGCAACACATTACGACATGCCAAATTTCATAAGGATCGGCCGACTATATCCTATAGCTGCCATATAACTGAACGATCGGAAATGACCCAACTTTCGTGTTTTTAAAGATACCAAGTTGGAATTTAGTACAGAATGTATTTTTGGTCAGTTGATCCAATCTACCAAATTTCATAATAACGATCGGTCGATTAAATCTTATAGCTGTCATATAACTGAACGATCGGAAATAGTATTTGGTAGATATACCCACTTTCGTATTTTGGAAGATAGAAGCTTGGGACTTTTTTTTTAGATTTTTTATATAGTTATTATGATGTTTTATTATGATGTTATCATGAGGATCGGCCAGCTTTTTCCGATGTTTATGATATATATTCGGTTTAAGCTGCAAGGGTATATCAACTTCGGCTCCGCCCGAAGTTCCTTTCTTGTTTTTAGTGGCGATTCGAAGGGCTCTATTTTCGAACGTTTGTATAGTTCGGACATTCGTCTTGCTCGGAGTGCCCCAGAGCTGTATGCCGTACGTCCAGATTGGGCGTATTATGGCCTTGTAAATGAGAAGTTTAGTGGAAGTTCTCAGCTTTGATCTTCTACCCATGAGACAATAGAAGGATCGAAATCTTTGATCAGCCTGTTTTCTCTTCTTAATCAGATGGGGCCTCCAGGTAAGCCTCCTGTCTAGGGTGAATCCCAGGTACTTGGGATTGTCTTCCTGTGGGATTGGAGAGCCGTTGAGGTTAACTGGAGGGCAGTTGCCTTTGCAGAGAGAAAATGTGGTGGCAATGGACTTCTCATTATTGACGGCAATGTTCCATCGCTTTTGCCAGTCGAGGAACAAGTCAAGCTGCAATTGCATTGTTTCGGCTGCCCCCATGGCGCTATCGGCGGTGGTAAGAAAGGCGGTGTCGTCTGCACAGGTTGCTGCGAGCAGGTCAGGCCTTTGAAGAACAGGGAGGTCGGTAAGCATTGTAAGCATTGTACATCAACGGGCCAAGAACGCTGCCTTGGGGTACACCAGCGTGAGCTTCTCTTATACCGGAGATGGCCTCGCCACATCTAACAGCAAATTTACGGTCTTCCAAGAACGACTTTAGGAACTGGAAGTATGGTCGGGGTAGGCCAGTCTTTAATTTATATAGTAGAGCGGGATGCCAGACTGGGTCAAACGCCTGCTTAACGTCCAGCATGACGGCCATGCAGTACTTCTTGGTTTCAAATGCGTATAGGATGCACAGCACCACCCGATGGCACTTCTCTGGGGTACCGTGTCGCCGACTGAAGCCAAACTGGTGGTCAGGGAATGCTTGGAGGTGGTAACATTTTTAAGGGGTCACGCCACCCTGAAATTTTCAAAAAATCGATTTTTTTTTTTACTTAATTTAAGAGACTATATTCTTACGCGTATTTTAAGACGTCCCCGAAGACAATATCTTGATAATTATGGAAGTTATGTTTATTTCAAGGCGGCACTGCAGGAGGGCACCTAAGACACTTCTTTTTCTTCTTTTGCGTTTTTCTCGAAACCACTTTTTTCAAGACGGTGGGCATGATAACTCAAAAACTGTTCAACCGATTGACTTGAAAATTGAAACACATCTTCTTACATAGATTTTCCACGGAGTGACGTAGGATTTTTTTGATCCAATGGATAGAAATTTTTTTATGCAATTTTTAGTACGAAATTTTTGCCCAAAACATTGAGTCAAGTTTTGAAGTGCTCTCATTTGCGTAATTTTTCTTCTTTTCTAAAACGGCTACGTCACTCTGTTCCAAATTTATCACTTTTTAAAAAAAAATTTTGTTTACTTTTTTCTGATGAAAATTGACACGTGAAT